TTGAGTTTATGGGTGGGTTTAGGAGAGAGTGGAGAGAATCTGCGGTTGGCTTGGAAGACAGTGTGAGAGGATAAAGACGGCGTGTAAGCCATTTGTTTCTCACGCCGGTTGGCCAGGAGAGGTGGCGGTTTCGTGTCTAGAGGGAAGGGAGTCAGTTTCTCCTACAAAGGGTAAGATAGACTGACGGAGTCCCATGTAGATCATGTCCATCCATCCCTCTCGATTTGTGTGTGGGACCCATCTTTATTTTTGGAGCAACGATTAAAACAATCGAAGATTATTTTTATAAAAAAATAATAATTTCAACCAGCCTAAAAATAGTTAACCGCTAAATTTAAGAATTTAAGTTTTAACTGATTGGGAGTTTTACCCTCTATATTACTTATAAATTTATCATTTTGCTCTAAATTTTTTATACGTGAATAATGTGCATTTAATATCTTGATTTACATTAAAATTTAAATCTTTATTGGTTAGTTATTACATTTCTCATTTCTTTTAAAATTTTGCTTGTTTTAAAAAATAAAAAAATAAAAAATCAATATTATTTATTATAATATTAAATAAATATAATATAATATTAAATATATATTTAAATATAAAGGTGTTTTGTTTTATCTAATCAAAATCATTAAAAATTTACCATCTCAAGCTAATTTACTAATTTACCATCTCAAGCTAAGGTACGCCTCCTACCTCCGCTACCTCAAGATCCCAGGCTCTGTTTGGTTGCCGGGAAAATCATGTCATTGTTTTCCCGCAACCACACATTCTGGAATCTCGCTTTATTTCCATTTTTTCTCTCTCTCACTATGATTTGATTGTTCTCTTTTCTGTTTTTTCGCGTTTCCAATTGAAGGCTTCATGGGGAAGGATAATGAAGTTTCGGCTAGGGAGGTTGAAGATTCAAATTCGGAACAGATCACTACCAAATTCTCGATCAACGGTAAGCACAATCAACACTCACGTTGAATCTAGTGAATTTTGTAATTGACGGATTTTGCTCGCAGTATTGCAGCTTCTGAAGTCAGCTCAGATGCAGCATGGAGATTACACTCGCTATCGGTATATTCACAGTGACATTGAGATTTGTTGAAGTGCAATCTCTGAATTTGTGGTGAAATGAATGAATTTGTGCGCAGGAGATACTGCACGGCTCGATTGGGGAGGTTGTATAAATCATTGAAGTTCAAACATGGACGTGGTAAATACACTCGAAGAGCAATAACTGAATCCACTGTCACTGAAGTGAGGTTTGTGTCTTGAACTCTGCACTTGATCAGGGTGCCTCAGAAAAATGAAAAGAAAATGGCTTTGCAGGAAATGAAGAAGGTTAATGCATGCCCATGTTTTCTTGGATTATAAGTAGATTTCTTCATGTGGTTCTTTATATGGCTGAGAGAGCCTGGAGCCATGCCATGGAGAAAAGACAGCTTCCAGATGGCCCAAACGCACACCAGCACATCTATTTAATTGGCAGACTGAGGAAGGCTCTAAAATGGGCGAATCTTTTTTCACATTTGTGTGCTATTAAAGGAGATTCCAGAACATCCTTAGAAGCTGAGGTGTGTCTACAATTTGATGATTTCTGTTACTTACTTTACACCTTTCATTTGTAATGGTTGGAGTTTGGAAAATATATAGCTTATGCTTGCAGCATTTTCTATTTTCTTTCTTGCATTGGTTGTTCCTTCCCCTGTCTCGGTCCTAATGGTGTGTGTTTGAGGTTTGGTTTAGAGATGTAATTTGATTGCATGAGTTTTATTCGACTTTAGTTTAGTATTATTTCTTCTTCCATCTCAGTGATCGAGTTTTATAAAAGTTTAAGATAGTGGACATATTATTATGCACACAGTGAATGGGCAAGGGAACATATTTTGATTTCTCTTCATATTTTATTTTATTTAACCTTTTTCATTTCTTTTGGTACTCTAATTTTGTTAAGGTGAATATTCCATCTATTTAACCCCTTTTGAGGCTTTAGGTTTAGGGTTTGTAACCAACAAAAGTTGAATTATTTGTACCAAAAAGAAGAGGTTCACACTTTATCCTTTATTATTTTAAACATTTCCTGCCTAACCGCTTTAAATTACAATTTACTTGATTATATGTTGTGCAATGTTGTATAGGAAGTGGAAATGAGGATAGTTGTTTGTTTTATTGCTGGTACTCTTATGGATGCAAAAGCAACCTTTATGGGCTGCCTTTGTGAAGGGGACAATGTAAAAGAAAGAAGAATTTGCAAGCACTTGTTCTCTTTTGTCATACGTTTGCAAATAATGTCAGGGAGACCGAAAAGAAAAGAGAAAGAATAAGTGGAAAACCTAGGAAAAAAAAAAAAGGAAAAGGACAAGTGCATATTGTGTGCCTGTAGTTGGTTTCAGGGGCTATTTATATGCTCCATCATTCCTCTAAGATTTCTTTAAGATGACAGCTATGCATTTAATTATCTTTCTGATTTTCTATTTCCCAAACTGTGTTAAAGTACCAGAGCACTTGCAGATTATTTGCTTCATTAGTTGATGAAGCATGAATCCATTATTTTCCCATTCCCATTCACTAAGTATTTTTTCTTGTATTTCTACTTCTAGGCCTATGCTTCCTATATGAAAGGGAGTGTTGTTTGAACAAGATTAGAATTGGGACACTGCATTAATGCATTTCAAAAGTGCTAGGTTTGCACTTATCTCTATGATATATAGAAGCATCATGTGTAGCTGATAT